TTCGGTATGGGTGAGGAAGTTTTCGAGATTTCCTAACCATATACACACCTACGTATATTTCATGCTCCATGTTTTTTTGTTACATTTTTGTCATATGATAATAAGGTTCACTTATTATTGCATAATATAATTGCATGGACTTTGATATTTTTTTTTTAAATAACACCCTTTTACTACACAAACATAATTGTATATATCTTATTGATTTTATTAGCATATAACTAGTCGTATACAAATAATAATCTATATTAAATGATTCTTATTGCTAAAATATATATTTATATTTTTAAGAACATCGTACATTAAGTCGTCCATCAAAATTAGTTACGGTCATCATTCGACGGATATCGACCTAATTTTTACGATTGTTAAATTCTCCCCCCGTTAAACGAATTTCGTCCCGAAATTAAATTGATAGGTGTATCATTGTCGAACAATTGGGGGTATTTATTCTTCATTTGGTTCTCTCATTCCCACGTGAACTCTGGTCCCCATTTTGAATTCCAATGCACTTTCACAATAGGAATGCGACTTTGTCTCAATTTCTTGATTTCATGGTCCATAATCTCAATCGGTTCTTCAATAAAGTGTAGATCAGTGTTTAACTCGATTTCATCGAGAGGGATGACATGAGTGTCATCGGCTAGACACTTTTTCAAATTTGAGACATGGAAAACATTGTGTACTTTTTCCAATTCTTGAGGTAATTGAAGGCGATAAGCAACAAGCCCAATTCTTTCAAGAATTTCGAAGGGTCCGATGTACCGTGGGTTTAGCTTTCCCCTCTTTCCGAATCTAATCATTCCTTTCCAAGGTGATACTTTTAACATAAATCTATCGCCCACCTGGAATTCCAAGGGTTTACGTCTTACGTCTGCATAATTTTTCTGACGGCTACGTGCACCTTTCAATCGCTCTTTGATTTGCACAATTTTCTCGGTTGTCTCATGGATTATTTCGGGTCTGGTCCGTAGAGTATCTCCAGAATTCCTCCTGGCTAGTTGTGTATCTCAAACTTCTGCCCAACATAGCGGTGAATGGCATTTTCTTCCGTATAGCGCCTCAAATGGTGCGGCTTTTATGCTGGAGTGGTAGCTGTTGTTCTACGAAAACTCAATTAAGTGTAAATGAATATCCCACGAGGTTCTTCTTTTACAACTTCAACTTGGGCTTCCCATATCTGTGTACTTAGATTGGAATGAATGGTCATGGTCAGTGCACGTAGACGTCTAGGTTTCACATGCTCTTTCCGACTCAGAGCGTCTGCCACTACATTAGCCTTGCCAAGGTGATAACAAATTTCATAGTCGTAATCATTTAGCATTTCGACCCATCTTCATTGTCTCATGTTGAGTTCTTTTTGGTCGAAGATATGCTGGGGACTCTTGTGATCTGTAAAGATTGTGCATTTAGTACAATACAAGTAGTCGTCCAAATCTTTAGGGCAAAAACTACCGCCCCTAGCTCAAGATCATGAGTAGTGTAGTTGACCTCTTGCACTTTTAGTTGATGCGAAGGATAAGCAATCACCTTGCCTCTCTGCATTAATACACAACCCAGCCCTTGACGAGATGCGTCACAGTAAACGACAAAGTCTTCTGTTCCATCAGGGAGTGATATGATTGGTCCACTACACAACATGTGTTTTAATTTCTGGAATGTAGCTTCCTGTTTATCTTCCCAGCTGAATTTCACATCTTTCTGTGTTAGTGAAGTGAGAGGCTTGGCCGTTTTGGAGAAATTTTCAATAAACCTTCGATAGTAACTAGCGAGTCCTAAAATTTGGCACACTTCCATCGGCATTCTCGGTGCCTCCCAATTCTTGATTGCTTCAATTTTTACGGGATCCACGTGCATCCCTCTATTGCTAACAGCATGCCCTAGGAAATGCACCTCTCTTACCAAAATTCACATTTGGAAATTTTTGCATATAAAATTTCCTTTCTCAACAGTTTCAATATCAATCGTAGATGTTAACCATCTTGCTCCTTTGTTTGTGAGTATATCGAGATGTCGTCAATGAATACAATCACAAACTTATCTGGGTAAGGTTTACAAACACGGTTCATTAGATTCATGAATACTGTTGGGGAATTTGTTAGGTCGAAAGGCATGACAAGAAACTCGTAATGACCATACCGAGTTCTTAATGTGGTCTTTGGTATGTCGGTTTCCAATACCTTGAGTTGGTGGTATCCGGACCTTAGGTCAATCTTGGAGTAGTAGCAAGAACCTTTCAGTTGATCGAATAAACCATCTATTCTAGGGAGTGAGTATCGATTCTTTATCGTTAACTTATTTAGTTCTCTGTAATAGATACACATATGAATTTATCCATCCTTCTTCTTGACGAACAGTACCGGGGCTCCCTAAGGAGAGAAACTTGGTATTATGAAACCTTTGTCCAGAAGTTATTGTAATTGGCTTGCAAGCTCTTGCCTCTCAGAAGGAGCCAATCTACAGGGTGACTTAGCTACTGGTGCATCACCTGGGGTTAGGTCAATTCTAAACACAACTTGTCATTTCGGGGGTAATCCAGGTAGATCCTAGGGAAAGATGTCCGGAAAATCACATACTTGAGGTATGTTTCTCAATTCCTTTGTTCCACTCTTCTTATCCACTATGTGAGCCAGAAAGGCATAAGATTTCTTATGTACATATTTCTGCGCCTTTGTGCAAGAAATGAGCTTAAGGTTTTCCCCGACTTATCCCCATAAATGGTTAGGATCTCTCTGCTTGGTAGGGTTAATCGTACGGCCTTCTCATAACACAAACTCTCAGCGTGGTGAGGAGCAAGCCAATCCATTCCTGTGATAATGTCAAAACTACCTATGGGAATAGTCAAGAGATTTATGTGGAAAGTGTGGTTGTTTAGAGTTCACAAGCAATCTCTTAGGATTTCGGTTGTGCTTTCTATCTAACCATTCGCTAGTTCTACTTCATATGATGTTTCTAATTTTAGACTCGTGGTTTAAAATTTGTTGAAAAGACGGATTTATAAAACTTTTATCGGCACCGGAGTGAAAAAGTATTGTAGCATACAAGTTATTAACAAGGAACGTACCGGTGACCACTGACGGATCCTGAATGGTGTCCATGTTTCCTATCACAACTCTCCCATGGGCGTTACCACCTTTATTCTTCCCTTTTGAGCAGTTTCGTGAGATATGGCCTTTCTCCCTATAGTCGTAACATGTCCTTTCTTCGCTGTTGCCATCCCTGGTATCGAAATTTTGATTTCCTCCTATATTCATAACTTTCTTACGGTAATTTGCAGTATGTCGCTTCTTTTTGCACTTTGGGTAATTGTTTGTGTAGTTCTTTTGTGATACATGTGTTGTTGTTACGAATGGAGTTGCCGCATAGACCTTCTTAGTTTCTTGCTTCTTGTGTGGGTTTGATTTTCTTTGAAGAAAGTTCCTTTTCTTGTTTGATTTAGACTTGGGGGTTTCAACTCTAGTCTCTTAGTTTCCATGACTAACCTAATTGTCGGTCAGCCGTTTAACCATATTCTTGGCGCTTTCAAAGTTTGTAGGTCTCGAAGACATGACCATACCCTTGATCTTGGGAGACAGACCCCAAATATAACGTTCCACCTTCATATGCTCAGGGGTTACTAGAGTTGGACATAGCAAGGAGAGGTCGTTAAATATGATTGTGTAGGTTTTAATGTCTGAACCTTTCTTCTTAAGGTTTCACAGCTCGTTTTTTCCAGATTTTGAACTTCGTCTCTGGGACAATACTCTTTTATCAGCATGGTTTGTAGGTCACTCCAGGTTAAAGAGTTGGTAGGGATACTGCCTAGCGACTTAACTTGGTCGTTCCACCAAGTTAGTGCCACATCCATGAAAGTACATGCAGCAAAGCACACCTTGCTATTTTTAGCACAATAACTGATGTGAAATACATACTCTATCCTTTCCAACCACCGGGTGAGACCGATCACACCTTCTTTTCCATAGAAGTACTTTGGCTTGTATTTCATAAAGTCCTTATAGGTGCAAACCCTTCGAGTCTTGGTAGGATTAATGTTTGAACTACTTCCACGCCTAGCCTCGAGTTCTTCAATTTCAATGATGGGGTTTCTTATTTACGCTTCCCATGTTTGTCATAGCGATCGCAAGTCGGTCTGCAATTATTCGTTCCAACTCTGCTGTTGTTTGTGAGAGCCCCGTCTCAGGCGTTGGTGTAGCAACATTCGGCGTATCCACTACCGGAATTTCCGTTGGCCATGAGTTGGGTCGGCCCCTCCTGGGTCGAGATGTTGTGGGTGGAACTACCGTTTCCAATCTTTCAGGTTGGAGTCGATTTCTCAGTCGTTCACTCCTCTTTCTTAGCGGCATGATTTTGATCTATTTAGACATTTTAATTGTAAGTGTTTAATCAATAATGTTTTTAATAATTTATAATGTTTTCCAAGTATTTCCGAATTAATTAAATCAACTAACACCACAATCATCACGTAACAACACATAATAATAATAATAATAATAATAATAATAATAATAATAATAATATTTGCTTCATATATTTCACATAGTCATTTCCAAGTTTTACATTCGCTTACATTACCATAAAACTACTACACGTTAGGGTCGATAAATTTACATGTTTACAAAAAGAATCGACCACATCAAAATTTGCAAGACCACAACGAGTTCTTGCATCCCTTCCCTATACACCATATTTATATTATCCGAGGATCACCAGCGACCGATACCCTATTACATATCTGAAATTTTAGACCAAAATTGGCAATCACCTATGACTTGCCCTAAAACTTTCACTAATCAATATTTACTCGACCCCAAACTAACCCAATCTAAAGTTGCGAGATAGTGCATCCAAGATCTCTTGGATCTGTTCCTCCACACTCCCCATTCGCTCTAACACTCCTCTAGCTACAACATCTTCCTCGACGGCCCGCTGCAATGCCTCCCGGATCTGCCCCTCAGTCTCTACCTACGAATCTCCTCTGTGATCATAAAATCGTACATGAACTAAGTCCTGCTATGATCTTTCTTCATGTCCTCCTGATCCCGTCTCCTCTGGGATCTCATTTCCTCAATCTGTCTGGCCCGCAGATCATCGATGGCACCCACGGTATGTACCTCACCACCTATGGCCTCAACTTTATGGCCAAGTCGCAGGGTGCGGTCAAACAAGTACGAAAGTCTATCATCCTCAGTAGTGGCTATGGTTTTCGCCTTTAAGCATTGCACTACCTCAAATCTATGGGTTCCTCCCTGGTCTCGGACCCATTCATTCACAACATCGGTTATCCAGGCAGGATCATGCATCCTCATCTCTTGAATCGTACAAGGAGCTTCAGATACAGGGTTTGGTACAGGCTCAACGGGGGCAGCGCAGTACGGGTGAAAGTTCCCCGTGAGACTCAGGAATCCATGGACTCGCATCCTAGGCTTCTTCTTCATAACACCTCCGCATGTGGGAATTGTCTTTTGTGCGTGTTTCCTATTGCAAGGTATACCCAAGCTCAGGTAGTAAGAGGTAGTAAGAGGTAGGAGGTGGCGATGCAACAGGATCTTTGTCCTCTATAGGGGTTGCTTCTCCCTTGGACTCGGATGCCTCGAACTCCATCTCTTCTTTAGCCTCCGGTCCAATCTACTCTAAATCTTCATTAGGATCCTCCTCAGTCTCCTTCTCCATATCCTCCGGATCCTCGGTAGGATTCTCCTCTGGCTCGCTATTCCTTATCAGTATTGACATCCCAACGGTCAGTGGAGTAGGGAAATAGGGATACCCTAGTAGGTGGTAAGGTGAGTCCACCTATTGATCATTCTTGTCCCACTCTTGGCGATTTTTCCTATAAATAAATTTAGTTGTCGTCAGCATTTATTTATTCGCAGTTCTACACATTTTTAATTATTCATGAGTATGTTTTTATTTTATACTTCTTTTGCGTTTAATAGATCAACTAATTCGCTTAGTTTCAATAGTGCGTAGAACCTTACCAAAATAAAACGTAGGCGTGCAACTAGGTTTAGTTGTGGTACGACCTACGTACTAGAGAACCTAATTGATTATTTGAATTTTAAACTCTTTTTTACTTAACTTATTCAAAAATTTTAATTTATTTATAACTTATAGATGTCGCTTGTATGATTACATTTCCTTCGGTTTTTTATTTTATTTTATTACGCGTAGTTTATATGAACAAAAATTTGATCATAGGATCGTCGACGTAAGGGGAGAACCTACGCGTACTAATTATTAGAGTGATAGGAATAAGTCTATTAGTGGTATGATATAGGTTTTAGGAATTCTTGAACCTTTTAGAGTAAGCCCATAGACTATAGTTGTTCTCTTTTAAGGAAAGTACAAATTCGCTATAGTCGTTAGCTCTGATACGAATTTGTCACATGCCGACCAACAGCGGAAAGGTCGGGGTTGCGACTTAAGCATTTGGATCATAGTCAACAACATATAATCAAATAATAACATAATTTATTCGACATTACATTAATCCGAAGTATGAATATGACAAAACACACTGTTTAATAGTCCAAAAGAGTTATACGTGGATTTAAATTTCTTACAACATAAAAGAGACAAAAGGCTACTATAGAGCAAACAATTTATTTTCAATGTCAAACACATCATCCTCACACGTGGTGAGAGTTCTTCTAGCCACCTTGAACACCTAGAGACACATACATTTTGAAAATACGTCAACAATAATGTTGCTGAGCCTTATAGGTTTTCTTTTGACTTCGAAGATTTTTTTAATTCAAAATAATGTTTCCAAAGACCGGTAAATTATAAAGCATATATTTCTATTTAGCCACTTTTTAAATGATAAATATTAGTCATTTTCATGATGATTTTTATTCTGTGGATCTTGTCCGTTACGAAAAGGTATGTCGTAAGGAGAAATATATAACATCCTAACACTCGACACTCTCGGTCCCAAATTGGGAGGATTGAATCAATGTAAATCTATACATCTTCGAATAAAAATCTTCAATATATTAATTTGCCCATAACCAACACTATTCGTAGCTCCTCAACAAGCCGCATAGGCGAAATAAACAAGCCACACAGGCACAATACAAATAAACATAGAGGAATCGAGATCGTTACTAACGTTTAAAAAAGCAGTCGTATAATAACGAAGAAAGAAACATTTGACGTCTGTTGCCTCGTCACACGAAGTTGTAGCTAGAAACCACATATGTAAATAACCATTCGGATAAATCTTTCCATAAGAATTAGATCTACACCAAATTTCTTTATTATAAATCTATGTCGTGTACATAGACCTACAATATATGATTCCTCTTGGATTAACGGTTATAGAGCCAGGTGTCGATTCTAAGATCTGATCCCTACAAGGGAAAAACAAACCATCAACAAACTCTCTCCTCCACCCCTTTCGATACATTCCTCCCACAAGCACACACGAGATACACAATCCGTGAAACACATGGTAATAAAAATTCGTCACTTCCAATGATCTCCAACGCGAGTGTTAATTTATTTATGATTTTATTTTTATCTAGTGCATTTAGTTAAATATTAAATTTAACCTATCTTTCAAATAAAGAGACGGTATTGACTCAGTTAATTTCAATCTAAGAACCGATAGGAAAGATGTTCCTTTAGTGTAGTTGAGTACTTCATACGTGTCGGTGTTACGTCGGTAGGCCGGTTGTCACTTTAATCGAATATTTTTGTATTTTAATATTTATTTAATGTTGAAACGTATTATTTTCGTTTGTAAGTAAACTTTAGTCTTAAAAATACAAACACATTATTTATCGACAAGATTTCGTTTTATACCATAATATATAACTACTTGTGGTTTATTCTCATACTCTTGATATAATTTTATAAATCATTTGTATATTTTTATTTTATCATCTCGTTTAATTCTTTACTATCAATACTTGATGAAAAATAAGCTTAATGTCCTAATATAAACAAGTCATATATTTATACCTATCATGACAAGTTAAACATGTTCATCTATCCAAATTTTGACATAAGTTCTTAACCATACTTCTATTTGTCCCCACAAATAATATAACACTAGATTACTCTTATCTAACTTTTTTGTTTACACAAGTGCTTGTAAATAAGTCTAACATTTTATAAAATTCTTGTGTATAACCATTACTAACCACCACCTTTTTAACAAACGTCATTTGTAAAAATAGTATCTATAATAAACATTGACTCTAACAATTTTTGCATCTAGTACTAACTATGCATGCATGTAACATATAAACTTTTTGCCATTTTATTATATCAAAATACTCAAGTATGTGTCTCCCCCTAAATAAGTAAAAATGTAAAAAGAGGTCCATAAAGACTTACATTTGGAGCGTGATTCTCGAGTTTAGAGGGGAGGATTCCGTGAGGTTTGTGCTTCGTTTAAGACCCGATACCTTCACCGACAATAAACGAATCTAGTTTTAGATTATTGAGCTTCACTAAGTGTTCAAAACAGAAAGTATTTCAGATTTTTAAGGTGAAATAAACTCACCCAAAACAACAACAGGGGCTGTCAACAGAATTTTGGGTTGTTGGGGGATGTTTCTGGCAGCTTTCTCGCCCCTTTTCGTTCATGTTTTCGCAGCAGCTCTTGAGGGAAATAACTGACAACAACAAGATCGATCCAGGGAGGGTGTTTGGCTGTCTCGAAGGGGGTTAGTCAGGGAAGAATTTTGAGAGGCTGCTACCTCTTTTCTCGCCGGTAAACTAGATAATAAACACCTTCGGTGGAGGTGTTCCTTGGTGAACTCCGAACACAAGAGGGGAAGTAGAGTGGAAAGAAGTTTGGGGCTGAATTTTTCTGGGTTAAAGGTCCCTAATAGTGCTCTTTTTATACACTTCTCAAAGCTATCCACTTTCCCTTAATATGTACTTTTGGCCATTTATTGAAGCAACTCTACTCTCTAATAAAGGCTTGTGGTTTTGCAAGGATGAGAGACTTGTGAGGGAAAGAGGGCACGTGAGGTAGATGGAGAAGGAGTGTATTAGTCATTTAAGGTGCTCAACTTGTCCATGTTTTCATCATTATAGTACTTCTTTGGTTACTCATAAAAGTTAAGCTATTTCACCTCATCTTCCTTTGGACTTTTGATTAAATCTTGAAAGCAACCCCATTAGTGTATGGTACTTGCTACATGAAGAGAAGGTGGGATTTGGTTGGTGTGGAGTATTAATCACGTGAGAGAGAGGATAGTAGAGTCCTAGGTGTTGACTTTGGTCTTTAATACTTATGGCTAGTGGTATGTTTGAGATAGTGACTCACTATCCTTTATATGAGATGTATTATGTAAAAAATGAACTCTTGGGTATGGGTGAGGAAGTTTTCGAGATCTCCTAACCATATACACACCTACGTATATTTCATGCTCCATGTTTTTTTTTGTTCCATTTTTGTTATATGATAATAAGGTTCACTTATTATTACATAATAAAATTGCATGGACTTAGATATTTTTATAAACAACACGCTTTCACTACACAAACATAATTGTATATATCTTATTGATTTTATTAGCATATAACTAGTCGTATACGAATAATAATCTATATTAAATAATTCTTATTGCTAAAATATATATTTATATTTTTAAGAACATCGTACATTAAGTCCTCCATCAAAATTAGTTACGGTCGTCATTCGACGGACATCGACCTAATTTTTACGATTGTTACATTAACTGTGGTCCAAAATTTACATCGCAACCTAACATTTCCGTCGTCGGTTAGGGTGTGACAGATTGGTATCATAGCTAACAACTATATTGAATTAGTACTGTCCTAGGAGAGCACAACTATAGTCTAGGGATTACTCTTATATGTTTAGGTATTCCTAACACTACAACATCTTATGAATAGGTTCATCCCGATAAACCTACAACACATGACGCTTATGTTCTTTCATTAAACATATGAATCTATACTCCAGTTTATTCCTAGAAACCTATGTATTAAAGAAGTATTATTAACTATACTACTAAATGACTACTGCTGGGAGTGGTTTAAGGAAGGATTTTTCGCTTGGGTTGTTGGATTTCAGAACAACCATATGCCAAAATAGTTTTGCCGTCCGACTATCCTGACTCATAAGAGCTTTATCAGATAGACCTGATATAACAATATTAATTAATAACATACCAACAAATAAAAGATATAGAATTATATGAAAACTCAGTCCCTTGATGAGAAAACATTGATACAAGATGAGAAAAATTTAAAAACAAAAGAGTTTAAAAATAAAATACTTCAACTAGATTCCCTAGAACATAGGTCGTACAATAACTAAAAATAGTTGTGCACCTAATTTTTATTATGGTAAGATTCTATGCACTATCTAACCAATGTGCAATAGTTGATTTGTTAAATACTTGTAAAAAACTTAAATAAAATTTGTATCAACCCATGGATGCTTAAAATTCTGAAATATATGTGTGAAATATGTGATAATCTATGATACTAAAAAAATTTAAAATAATTTTAGGATGAACGCAGCACAAAACGAGGATCACGAGATGAATTCGCGATATCACCTATGAGTAGATCCCTATTACATAGAGGATGTGCCGGAAAGAGGATCCTGAGGAGGATCCATAGGAAGAACAAGATCACGATGGAGAGATGGAATTTTCATAACATGACGAAGTAGAGCCCATGCACTAGGAGGAACCTGTTACCTGTTCACTCCCATTTCCCTACTGCCTAGGCTCAAGAATCCTGCACACTTCGAAAGCAACCCAAAATTCGATACCAATAAGGATAGGGATCAGGAAGAAGTCAACAACTTGGCTTCCTGGTATACAGAGGATAACAGCCAACCTTAACCAATATGAACCATTTCACGACGGATGTGGGTAGAACTACCCGCAAGACTTCAAGGTTAGCTATTACGATAAAAAGGAGGATTGACAACCCAACCTGGAATGCTAGTGTTTTCAAAGAATGAGTGAGTGAGAAAAAGGGAATGCATCGATAGGAGTTTGGACAATCCTTAAGGAAAAAACCCTCAACCCTTAGTGTGACAGAGGTGCTATCACTTCTATTTTCACATACCCTTAGACTTGGTTACCAAGTGAAGGTTGTTAGTGACGAGCTGATGTCAAACCCCTGGACCAGACGGCGGAAACGTCTGGAGGCAGGTGCCTTCATTGTGTAGTATCAAAACAATTGAATATAAATGAAACATAGCAAATCCAAACATCATACATTGAGATAACAAACTTACATTGTTTACATATCGTATTTGTTCTATAAATTACACAAAAGAGGCATAAGTAAATAAATTTCCAAACTACAGCAAAATAATCATGAATTCGTGTCCCTTTAACCTGCTTACTGATTTCCTAAGAATACAAGTCGTTTGAAAAGCATCAACATAAAATATGTTGGTGAGTTCATAAGCATTTTCGAATAAAACATTTTGATAGTTTAGAAATCCAAAATATTCCCGTATTTTCTTATCAGAACAGTTGTAAGTCTTGTTTTCTATCTAGTATATTTGCCTGTGTTCACTTTAGTTTATCATCCTTTGAAATTGTGAAATCGTTTACTCTAGAAAATCCTATATTTTCTAGTATAAAATAATCGTGAGTTCTGTTTCCCATTGAGTATAGTTACATGTCTGTGATTTAGTCTGTCATTTTCGAAATCCTATAAAATCGTCAACTCCAGAAAATCCTATATTTTCTTGTATATAATAATCGTAGGTTTTGTTTCCAGTTGAGTATAATTACATGTGTGTGTTTTAGTCTATCGTTTTCGAAATCGTATAAAATCGTTTACTCCAGAAAATCCTAATTTTTCTTGTATAAAATAATCGTAGGTTCTGTTTCCCATTGAGTATCCTTGCATACGTGTGTGTTACTTTATAGTTTTCAAAATTATATACAATCGTTTTCCTCAAAAAATCCTATATTTTCTGGTTTGTAAAAATCATAGTATTAAGACTCTAATACTTGTAGGGTGAAAGAAATCAACATGGTAATCGTGGACATTCCGCACAAGTTGAGTGGGCGGTCAACACAACAAATGCGGACCATCACTACCGTGCATAGGGCAGTCAACACCATGTGCCAAAAAAAAATTATGAAGTTTTTCCTTACATAAATTTCTAAACATATTCTAGTGAACCGCTATAACCATACTAATATGACGGAGACCTATCTTAGCATTGCTCAGGTGCCCGCTTTTGTATAGAGACATTTGTCACCCTAGACTGGCCGTTCTAGCTGTAGCAAACAACGAAGGTGCGGGGTGTCAACTAATATATTTATATTTAGGTACTTTTGAGACTCGCCTGCACTAGAATACCAACTAGTTTTTGAGCAATCGATAAGATCTGTTATTCAATAAATAACATCACTTGTGCTAGTTGGCTAAGTTTATTGTTTTCGTTTATTTAGGATAATCCACTTGGAATCATAATTATCAAATATGACCCAAAATTACCAGCATTGGCAAAAATGGCCCTTCCTATTATAAGGTATCAAATAAGACTCATATTAAGGAGTCATAGGTAGCCCAAAACTTGGTTAAATGTGTGAAAATAGACCATTTCTTCTAGAACGTTCATTTTAGACTTATATTTGAGAAAATATTCAAAAAGACTCATGTTTATACAAAAAAATCCATTTTTGCTCCTTTAAAATTGAGGTGATCAATAATTCTTCAATTTTATTCCATTTTCCAAAATGGTCCGTGTGTGTGTGTGAGTGTGTGTATGTGTGTGTGTCTATATATATATATATATATATATATATATATATATATATATATATATATATATATATATATATATATGGTCGAAAATGGTCCCCAAAATATTATTAATATTCCAATTTAACCATTTCCAAGATATTATTTTCAACAACTTGTTTTAAACTAAATTTTGAGACAATCTTGTTGGTTTTTGTCATAATAATTTGTGACTCATGAATTGTAACATATTAAATCTTGGTTCTATTCATCATTGAAGTTTATAGTTCAAGCACTTGAAACTTGCACCAAATTTCGAGTTCTTAAACCATTCATCTACAATTTCATACCTTTAAGCATATAAATAAAAACATGCATGCATAAACAAGTAATTATACTAAGAATTCAGAAGACCTTGACTTGTATCCTCCCCCAAAAACTATGAAAACCTCAAAAGGAGGGGTATGAAGCTCATCTTGGTGTGATTTGGTGGGTGATTTGGTTAGATGATGAGAAGTTCAAGCCCTAACACTTGAAGAGTGTTGATAACTCTTTGAACTTTGGAACTTCCTAAGAATATTAACACATATCTTCATGTGTAAATATGATGAACTAATAAGATAATGTATAGAATCACTAACCAAATGTTAAACTACTTACAAGGATCCAAAGAATGCTTAGGAGAATTGATGCTTGAAGTTTGAATCCATATGAGGGAAAGTTATGAGTCCACAGAAAGGTGAATATGATAAATGGGATACAATGAGGAGTTTACAGAGAGTGACTTGAGTTTTTGTTGGAATGGGAGATGGGGTTTACGGCCCCTTTTGTATGGGAATGAGACTTTGATGGGATGCCTACTTGGTTTACTGTTGGGTAATGCTTTATCACTAAAGGTCTTTGCATGTTTTACTAGGATTAGTATTGGAAATTGGTAATTTACAACTAACCATCCGTAAACACCTTAAATATCTAAGTTTTCACGCCCAGGATGCCTTTTAGGGTGGTGTTTACGCCTAAAATGCTTCCTAGGAGTTTACGCCCTAGATTCTTCCTAGGATGATGTTCACAACCAAAGGTAGTCCACTAAGGGTGTTCACCACCTAGCTTTGGCTTCTTAAGGGTGTTCACGTTCTAGCTAGTGACTTTAGGGTGGTTTACGGCCAAAGAGGTCCACTAGATGTAGTTTACGGCTAACCATTGTTCAAGGAGAGGAGTTTACGGCCATGGAAGCTTCTTAGTGAAGTGTTCATGGTCTTGGATTATTCTTTAGAATATTCATATTTTGGATGATTCCTATATATGTGAATATGTTTCTTGTGCTAAGAAAGCTCAAAATGATAACCTTTTACAATTCAAGCATTCAAGGTTACAACATACGTAAGTTCTTATATCCATCTCCAGTGATTCTTAATCAAATCCATTCGTCTAGTTTTGCCTTGATAAACTTGTTTACTTTCAAGAGGTTAACTTGTATGTGACTTCTAAAGTGCATCCTTTCATATACATGCACTTATACTCTAATGGTATTCAAGGTTCTCATTGTAATAGAGATACAATTTCGACCTTGCCTGGTCCAGATAGTTTGGGTTGTCACAGTTGATCATCGTATATGGGAACAATGCTCATCTGAACAAGGGATGCAGATTATGGAAACTCGGAGAACTCAAGACCACAAGATCCAATATGCTTATGATGCTCACCATAAGATCCAATATTCTTATGACTTCATGATCACTCATGGGATCCAAAGATAAGAGAACTAAAGATAAGAGAACTAGGGAATGGAATGAAGAGTCAGGTTGGTAGAGGAGTTGATCCTGGAAATATTGGATGCATTCTCCGGTAATTTTAGACTGGGATAATTGGAGCTGGAACGATGGTTTGGTGATAGTGGTAGGAGAAGGCATTTGGAGAAGTCTAGGGTACTTTCAAATTTTGTTTTAAAAGTGTTGTTAAGGTAGCGGTGTAGGGAAGGATATGTTGCTTGGGTTGTTGGATTTCAGAACAGTTATATGACAAAATGGCCTTGCCGTCCGACTATCCTCACTGCGAGAGCCTTATTTGATAGACTTGATGTAACAAATATTAATTACTAACAAACAAACAAATAAACATAGCTATATGAAAACTCGGTCCCTCGATGAGAAAACACTAACACAATATGAGAACATTTTAAAGACAAAAGAATTTAAAAATCAAATACTCAACTAGGTTTCCTAGTACATAGATTGTACCATAACTAAACCTAGTTACACACCTAAGTTTTATTATGGTCAGATTCTATGCACTATCTAACATAAGTGCAATAGTTGATTTGTTAAATACTTGTAAAAATATAAATGAAATTTAAATCAACCTTAAAATGCTTAAAACTGTGAAATATATGTGTAAAATATGTGATAATCCATAATGCTAACAAAACGTTAAAATATTTTAGGATGAACGAAGCGCCAAATGAGGATCAGGAGGTGAACTCGCGCTATTACCTACCAAGAGATCCATATTACACTAATGAAGAGTCGGAATAGGATCTTGAGTAGGATCCAGAGAAAGAAGAGGAACCCAATGAGGAGATGCAATCGTCGGAACATGAGGAAGTAGATCCCATACACGACGAGGAACTTGTTACTTCTCTAGTACCACTTCCTTACTGGCTAGGTTCAGGAATCAAACACATTCGAAAGCCATCCCTGAAGTATAACCTAATATGCAGATGGATCGAGAAGAAGTCATTGCATTGGCTTCCCGGTATACAAATTATAGTAGCTAACCCCAACCAGTATTATCCATTTCACGACGGATGGGAACAGAACCACCCACAAGATTTCAAGGTCAACTATGATGACATATAAAGGAGAATTGACAATATAGCATAGATTACTAGTATTGTTAATGAGTGGGTTAGTGTACAAGAGGGAGCACGTCTATATGAGGTCAAAGAATCTACAGGAACATAAACCTTGACTCCTACCAAGATAAAGGAGATATTACTTCTGTTTGCTCGTACCCTTAGACTTGATTACCAAGTCAAGACCTCTAGTGATGAGATGAGAATCGTAGAGGGGAGAAATAATCATCTACCCAGGCGATGTAGAGGATGGAAGCCCAAAGAACTCAAGACAAGGAGGCATCAAGGAGTGATCACCATAAGATTCAATATGCTTATGACTTCATGATCACTCATGATATCCAACGACTAGAGACAGAGGGACATATTAGGGCGGCACTGGCCAGGGTGATATCTATAAACGAGAGAAGTGGGGGACTGGAATGGAGAGTCATGGTGGTAGTGGAGTTGATCCAGGAAATATTGGATGTATTGTCCCATAATTCAGCATAGTGATAGTTGGAGCTGGAACGATAGATAGGTGATAGTGGTGGGAAAAGGCATTTGGGAAAGTCTAGAGTAATTGTCAATTTTGTGTTAAAAGTGTTGTTACGTGAGATGTGTAAGGAAGGATAAGTTGCCTGGGTTGCTAAATTTCAAAGCAACTATATGCCAAAATGGTCTTTCCCTCGACTATCCCGACTGAATGGATCCTTTTCATATAGACCTAACGCAAAAAATATTAATTAATAACACACAAACAAATAGAAAGAGTTATATGAAAGTGTAGTCCCTCAATGAAAAAACACTAATCCAAGATGAAGAAACTTAAAGACATAACAATTTAAAAATCATGAACTCCACTAGGTTCCTTAGTACATAGATCATACCATAACAAAACCTAGTTGCACACCTAAGTTTTATTATGGTAAGATTCTATGCACTATCTTACCAAAGTGAAATAGCTGATTTATTAAATACTTGTAAAAATATTAAATGAAATTTAAATTTCTTAAAATTGTGATATATATGTGTAAAATATGTGATAAGACTAAATACTAATAAAAGTTATAGTATTCTTAAATACTATCTAAACACACGCTATCACCTACAGGGAGAACCTTATTATATGGAGGAAGAGTTAGAAGAGGATCATGAGGACGGTCTAGAGGAAGAAAAAGAACCCGATGAGAAGATAGAATTGTCAGAAAACAAGGAAGTATAGCCTATGCACGAGGAGGAACCTATTACTTCTCCACTCCCACTTCTATATGTCGTAAAACAAGGAACCCTATTATATGTCAAGACCATCAGTCACAAGATGAGCATCGTAGAAGGGAACAAGGAAGCCTAGAGAACTATAGACCACAAGGCATCTAGGAGTGATAGCTACAAGATCCAGTCTACTTATGACTTCATGATCACTCACAACATCCAACAATTAGAGATAAAAGGACAGATCTGGGCGATATCTATATATGGGAGAACTGGCAAAGTGGAACAACAAGTAAGGGTGGTAGAGGAGCTGATTCAAGAAATATTGGGTGCATTGTCCATAATTTTGGACTAGGATAGTTGGAGTTGGAATGATGGTTTGGTGATGGTGGTAAGAGAAGGTGTTTGGACAAGATAAGGGTGACTGGAAATTTTGTGTTAAAAGTGTTGTTATGTGAGCTGTGTTGGGAAAGATATGTTGCTTGGGTTGTTGGATTTCAGAGTAGCTATATGCAAAAATGGTCTTGCCCTAGACTATCTTGACTAACCGAAGGCTTATAAGAAAGACTTTACATAACCAATATTAATTAATAACACACAGACAAATACAAAGAATTATATGAAAAATCAGACCCTTAAAACACTAATACAATATCATAAAAATTTAAAGACACAAGAATTTAAAAATCAAAAACTCAACTAGATTCCCTAGAACATACGTTATACAACAACTAAACTTAGTTGCATACCTAAGTTTTATTATGATCAAATTCTATGCACTATCTAACCAGAGTGCAATCGTTAATTTTAGAAATACTTGTAAAAGTCTTAAATGAAATTTAAATCAACCCATGAATGCTTAAAACTATGAAATATACGTGTAAAATATGTGATAAAAAACTGAAATATTTTTTGGATGAACGGAGAGCCAAACAAGGATAAAGAGATGAAATTGCGCTATCCCCTACCTGTAGATCCCAATTACATGGAGGAAGAGCCGGAAGAGGATACTGAGGATTATCCAATAGAAGAAGGACCCGGTGAAGAGATGGAATTGTCGGAAAACAAGGAAGTAGAGCCTATACAGGAGGAGGAACTTGTTACCTCTCCACACCTACTTCTCTACCGAGTAGGCTCAAGAATCCCACGTACTTGAAAGGAAACCCAAAAGTGGATCCCAATACACCGAGGATTCAGGAAAATGCCACCAAGTTGACTTCCCAATATACAGAGGCTAGTAGCTGATGTCACACCTCGCTAAAGCAGAAACATGAGGCGTGACAGTACAAAGTGTTTCATAGCAAAAGTTAAAAGACAACACCAACCATAGTATTAAAATCATTAAATATTTACAATGAGTTTGAATAACTTTTTAAAAGAAATTACAATGTATTTAAAAGTCAACACATGCAAATGCTCCTACAAATGTTGTGTCTCTATGTGCATCTTACTAGATGATTCCTAAAAAAGCATTTAAAACGAGTGTCAACTATAAAAATACTTGGTGAGTACTCACACACACACACACACACACACACATATATATATATATATATATTGGTTTCATGAATCGAAATCAAAGTTTTGATAACAGTTTCCACAAATAAAAGTATATTGTTAAAGTGTGTAAATAAGTTATAAACAAAGTTCGTTGTCATCATGAGCGATAAAGTATGTTGCCCAACTGAGATGCAACGTTCATATTCTCATGGAAAATAAACTTCGTTACTCAAACGAGTAAACAAGTTTCATAGCTACAATGAGCAAACAAGTTCATTGTTACAAGGAACAAAAAATTTCATTGCTAAAATAAGTATACAAGTTTCATTAAGCATAAAAGTCTGTTGCTCTAATAAGAAACAAAGTTTATTGCTATATTAAGCATAAAAGTTTCATTGCTAAAATAAGTATACAAGTTTCATTGCTAAAATAAGTATGCAAGTGTCATTGCTAACATGAGAATACAAGTTTCGTATGTGCATAAAGATTCCATTCATAGGTTCACAACCGAATTGTGCCATGGTGACTACTATGTGTATCGCGAACATAGAGAATAAAATGGTAAAAATGCACTCAAGCGAATCATGCGAGTGAAGAGTTGTCTACCACCTGATAGTGCTATCCATAATGACCATCGGATCAAATGAGTTAATGAGTTGTGTCAAATGATTCCAGGGACTTAACCGCAATACAATCCTCATGAATTAAAGTAACATGCACATACATACAAAATATAGCAACCAATCTTGATACGAGTCAAAATAAATACTACAAACATAAATAGTTTAGGACATGCTTTTCCACCCCAAAACATTTAAAATCGAAAATAAGGGGAGTCGTGAATACTCACAATGCTTTGAGATAATGCAAATGGTGCCTTGAACTACATTCCACTTGTATCGCTACCAATTCTTACAATAATGATACATACTAGTGAGTCTCTAATCGAAATCTAACACTAGTATACTTACTAGTACAATAGAATTATACTAATATTATGTCAAAATTTAATATTGATAAGTTACAAACATTTTTCCATGAAATGGTGATATTTTATAACTCATGTGATTAAGATAACTCTATATATATTTTTTCCAGGTTTTAGTAATATTAATTGAGGATATTTCAATACATTTAAAGGTGTTTTAAACACCTAAAAATCCAAAAATATTATCAAACAGTTTCCAAAATTCATCAAATTTTACATTTTTGTTCCAAATGTAGTAGAGGTCTTCCAAAAATTTTCCCTTGAATTTTTGATGTGATTAACTTTTTTCCAAATTTTTAAGCCTTCATAAAATTATAAATTCGTGAAAAATAGCATCCACATGATAAAAATTCCCAAAAAATTTATAATACTGAAATTAAAAAAAAAAAAAAAAAAAAGAAAAACTTAAGCTGGGGAAAATATAAAAACGGGTTTCTAAACAGTTTAACCCAATTTTATGATTTTTATTTATTTATTCTAACAAAAATGTAAATAAATAGAAAACAGTTTCTAAAATTGTCCAAACTTTTTGCAACACTATTATTATATGTATAGAAACTTTGAAAACTATAAAAGTTTTTTCTCAGTTTGTCTGGATATTTTTCTCTATTTTATTCTCTTAAATAATCATTAGTTGGAGAAAGATTATTAAACAGTTAAAGTAAATTACAAAAAAAATTTTGGAACTTTATTTACAATGTAGATAATCTGGGAAAAATAACAAAGGTGATTTTTCCCTAATGGAATCCGATTTTGGAGATTTAAGTGTATTTAATCTTAGAAAATAAAAGAAAATTAGCTACTAAGTATAAAAATCTTCAAAAAATTTATTTAAATTACTAACATATTATAAGGTCTTCTGGTAAATTTTATGAATTTTGGATGAGTAGAACTAATTTGCCAATTATTAGTCCATTATAAATACAAAAATTAGGGAAAAATAAGTATACATCATGAAAAATTCGAAAAATATATGTATGAGTATTTCACATGAGGTAGGATCTGCGAAAAATATTAGGTCACCTTTTCACATTCCCTAAAGTGGATTTATGATTTATTTCAATTAACCAAAAAGAAAATAAAAAATCATACCAAACAGTAACAAAAATCGATGAAACTCACTGAGATGTCATCACTTACCTTAGGGATCATCCAAAGTTTTACCTAAGATTTATAGACCTCAGAAAGTATTTTAGATGAATTATTAACCTATTTTCTTTCAATAATTATTATAATTCAAGAAAGAGAATCTATTTTTACACACCATCCTATTTCATCCATACTACACACGACTCTACCTTGACCTATGACTTCCTATTTTGATTACCAATCTAATATTAAACAATTTAATGGAAGCCTATCTAATCTAATATCCATATACATGCCAACCATCTAAAAAAACACTAATACATTACTTTTTCAAGAAAAATGCAACGCATCACTTTTGGCTGTTAACTGTTAAGAAGCCACACAGCATATAAATCTTTTTTTTAACTAACCCTCACGTATATCAGACTTTTAATATAAAGCTTCCAATTTTATGACATATATTATTAAACCTTGAGGTAAATTACTTTTATTTACTATAATACTAATAATAAAGTATTTTCCAATAACTTCTATTTAATTTATATTATATTGAAACAAAATAGAAATAAAATATTTTGTGATATTAACTAAGTTTTAATTAATATTTTGTGATCTCACCGTTCATTGATTCTTTGTCCTTTCCATTTTTTTTAATATATGTATTATTTTCATTTGTTTGTTACATATCCTTTTAATTAGCAAAATACAAAAGATCAACTTA